GTCTTTTAGGCTTGCTAAACTTTAGTGGTGCATTTAAGACCACCCCATGCATTACCATTCTATAAAGTCAGAGCTGATTCACTTGTTACAGCTGTGTCCAGCTATGGGAAACAAACATTTTCAGCGACTGTAAATGCCTATAATGTAGATGTGATTCTGCGATTAATGATTAATGATCATTAGAGTTTTGTGTTAAATAATCAGAATGACAGAATTGTTATTCATGTAGAATATGGCTACATTTCACTAAATACTGTAAATGTAAGTGAAATCTCTTCTTTAAGATTTGAGCTTTAAGGCATAAATTAATATTGCACTGCAAAAGAACTTGCTGAACTTGTAATATTGCTGAAGGGAAGACAGTATTGGAACCTCAGCCAACAGAAGGCAATAACCAAACAGTTTCAGCTCACCAAAAAGTTCAGGGTATCGAATAAAAATGTGGGAAATTATTGGTAATTAAAAATGTAAACTCATTTGCTGAAATATTCGTCACTGAATTGCTGGCATTGTTGTCTCATCAGTTCTCTTACAGCCTAGGCCATGGTATAGCTGCTCTCCCTCTCAACACAGAATTTGTACCTTTTCCGCTTTTCCATCATTGTACCACTGCAAAACCTCAGTGTGACCTACATTAAATGTGGACAACTGTTTAAATCAGGAGAAATGGATATAACTTAAATATATGGAAAATATTTCTATTTAATGTCTTTGAAATGTATTGCTATGTGGAATGTTCTCACCACTTCATTACAAAACCAGTAAAAATTCAAAATCTATCTAGCACGTCCTCTGTCTGTCAAAGTAATTTTGCACAGTTTAGGTAAATATTGCCTCAGATGTGGAGCATTTAATGTCAGGCACTTACGTCCTCGTTACAGCATCAAATCTGATCAGTTTCACTGAAACTTTCAAAGCCAAAGCAAGTATGACTGGTTATTATTATAAGTGATTGGAAGATTAGATGACCAACATAATGCCACAACCAAAAGAACTTTGCCCTTATTTGACCTTTCTGACCATGGGATCGGTCAGAAAGGAAGAAGAAAAAGGAGAGCATGTTTCGGGACTGGACTCAGTATTTGCTGCTGCTCTGTGGGTTTGAAGATGCAGGTCAGGAACAGTTGATGACGTTAATCAGCCAGATACACTCAATGTGGTAAAATGGCTGGATTACTACTATTTCAGTATGACTTACTGTTTATGTAAAGTGAGTTTAGGTTCAGGAGGATCTGGACTGAGGTTAACCAGAGAGCAACTTGCATTGGGATCACACCAGCTGTGGCGCAAAATCGTTATGTATGATGCAATGGAACACATGGAAGAGAGAGAGTGGAGTTTGAGAAGGTGAACTGTGACAGATATATTCAATATGCCTAACCATCATCACAGGGTCAACTTTTAAGCTATGTTAGTACTGTAAAATCATGGTCCCTAATTATGTCCATTGAAAAAGTAATTCCCTGATTCCCCCTACTTCCTACCTCGATAACTGCATTTCTCAGACATATAAAAACCTGGAAAGGTACTTGTAACCTCCGGTAGTCCCCGCTATGGTAGGCGTCTCCAGGACCATATTTTGCCATGATGACAGACACGCAGACTCACAAGGTGAAAACAACACCAGCCGTTGCTGTAGCGGCTGGTTAAAGTGTAGACTAGTGTTAGACTAACTAGTGAAACAGTTGTGTTATGTACATAAGTGTTTGTGCTGTTAGACAGATGGAGCAGTTTTTGTTTTGCATGCAACTTTAAAGACATGTTATATATAATCAGAAATATAAATCTGTGTATCTCAACATAAACATACACCACAAAACACACACACACACACACACACACACACACACACACACACACACACACACACACACACACAAACACACTGACAAAGGCAGAGGCACATACACACACACACACACACACACACACACACACACACACACAGGATAGATCCACAGGCAGTGGAGCATAGCAGTGTGATATACTGTAGGGTTCGGCGGAGGTCATCTGAGGTTGCAGTTTGGTTGGATTGGTGGATGGAAGGATAGATGGCAGGATGGGGGGACAGTGGCAGAAAAGCGAAAAAAGAGGGAAGGAGAAATAAAAAAGATGGATGGCCTCTCTCTGTCAGGGCGGTTATTTAGAGGAGTGCTGTAAAGCTGTCTGAGAATGAACAGATTTCGGACTAATGAGCAAAAAGGAGAGCAGTTAAGGGGAGCGGACAGTCTCAGCACTTCTACCAAATGAAACCAAGCTGCCACTTTAAACTGCGTGCCCCCCCCCCCCACCACACACACACACACTAAGACTGACGGGACCAGTTGGGACCCAACGTGTCGGGCTCGGTTTGGACAAAAATTTAGGAATGATGTTTGGGTTTGAGTCGGGTTGGGTCACGTTGGCTGGGCTAGCCTACTTGACATGGTTCTTCAGGTTCCTTTTAGTGAAAATTACCGGGTGAACCGCCCACATATGTAATACCCTGATTCTAATGTGACCACAACAACTGACCCTTCCCAAATCCCGCCTTTTTTGGAAACTGTCAACTTTCTCCTTTCCTGTACTTTAATATGCTATGTGCTAGGCTTGTCTGTGTTGTAAAGAAAACCACATTTTAAAGACACATCTACGTAGTTACATGTTAGCTAATGTCAGCAAAATGCTAGCTAACTAGCTAGCTAATCTACATTAAGCTAAGCTAGCTAGCTAGTTACACCTGATAGCTAATGATTGATGTAGATTAGCTAGCTGGTTAGCTAGTGTTTTGCTAACATAAGCTAAGTTAAGATGCAGCTATATACACTCTCTACATTATATGGGTGGGATATATCAGACAGCAAGTGAACATTTTGTCGTTTATTTGTCGTTTACATTTAATAGTTTTTGCCATCCCTCTATCTACAACAATACTGTGATATAAAAAATAAATTAAACTTAAATAAAAGAAATGACAATTCTGACGTGACCTTTAGCTGTTACACGTCACGGTCACAACATGCTAGCGTGCACACTGACGCGCAGTCGGTCGGTCGGCTGTGTGTCGACGGGTTACTATGGTTACAGCTACAGTCCATGGAAAATGAAACGGTAAAAGCCATCCGGGGCGCACTTTCAAAAGCACAGAAAAGAAGAGCAGGAGAAACGTGTAAAAGAGAAAGGTACGTAATGTTGATTATATATTTATTAAATTCACCGAACATTCACGATATAATCATGCTAGCTAGCAGTAGCATCATGTCATCTTACTTGTAAGCTAACGTTAAGTAGCAGTGAGGGTGTGTGACGTCCCGCTTCGTTCGGCTAGGTTTGGTCGTTATTAACATGCAGTCGGACCAATATTGTCGTAATAAGACTGTCATAAGACTGGTTCAGACTGCTGGCCTGGGTTGGCTTTGACTGGAGAAAAACACTATACAAGTTGATGCTAACTACAGTATATAGCACTTTGTTATCATTGTGTGCTATGAAATGAAAAACTGAGTGGATGTGAAAAGTCTATTATTACTGTCCATATAGCAACATTAGATTAGATTCAGTTTTGGATTAGTTTTAACTTTACTGTCAAGTTCAAGTACGGTGAAATACAGTTTTACATCCAACCAGAGTGCAAACTAGTGCTGAGTGAGTCAGTGCCTCATATGCAGATGAGGATATCAACATGTGGACTTTATAGACAGAGGTGCAAAAGATGAGCATATGTTATATACTGATGAACAGAGATAAGTATAAGTTACATACTGATGGAATATTGTATCAAACAGCATAATAATAATAATAAATGATATATACAGGTAGAGTATGTTTATGCAGAGAGGTGTGCACATAGAGCTGTGAGCAGATGGGACTGAGGCTGTGTCCTGTATCACTCACTACTCCCTATATAGTCCACTGTGTTGGACTCTATGTAGTGACTAGTAGGGAATGGGTGAGTGATTTCAGACACATCCTAAGTGAATTTATATTAAAAGAATGTCAAAATTAAAATGCTTAGCAACTTAACAATAATATCATTTGAAAACTTTACTCCATGTTGATAATACACTTGTTTGTTATATCATTTTAGATTCACTATTAAAATATTTGGGACCACCTGCAGCTGAATCATCAGACCAGGAACAGCCATGCACCTCAGCTGCTCCGGTTTCCTCAGGTGAGTTTAATGTGTCAGTGAATGTTTGTGAAGATAAAAATGTATTGACTTACGTGAAAATGACAATATGTTGTGCCATGTCTCATCCAGTCAATGTATTTGCTCTTGTGTGTTCTCTCTATGTTTATGGACCTAGAGCCACCAGAAGAGACACAACAAGAGCATGCTGCTCTTCCTACCAACCTCACATCACATTTTACACTATCTAATTTTGCACACAATGTTTTATTGTTAGTTTAATTTTTTGTTTTGATTCTTTAGTGTGCACTTTCTGTTCTCAGATGTTGCACTACTGTTAAAAATATGTTTAAAAGTTAATTTTTTGTATATTTATTATTGAACAGGTTTATTCTTTTGCACATATTGTTATATTGTTTGTATTATCATTGTTTAAATAAATGTGCAATTCTTTGGACATGAGTTCTTTTTCGTGGGGATGGGGCGCTATCAGTGAAGCTCGCCTAGGGCACCAAATGGTCTAGGATCGCCCCTGCCTGTTGGGTTTGGGTCGGGCTTGATTTCTACTCTCTAGGACTCAGGTCGGGTTCGGATGGGGGTATGCAGCCTGAGCCGCACTCCAACCCACACACACACCATTAGGTATATACACATATAAATGGGTGAAGCCAGGAATGCACATACAGAAACATGTACATCTGTTATCTTGTTTCTGATCTAGATCCAATGCACAAGGTGGACGCTTAAACATGTCCTTCACACAACACATGGAAGGAAGACAAAGGAAAATAAAGATGAAAAAAGAAGGGTGGATATAAAGACTGTGAAGATTCTATAGTACAGTATATGTTCTTCAATTAGTTTTCTTTTCAACTGTTTGATTCTTTACCTGCATAAAATTCCGGACCATATACCGCTCCAACCACTGGATTCAGCTTCCAGCCTGCACAGGAGACACACACACACACACACACACACACACACACACACACACACACACAGAATCACATACACATACACAACAGGGTGAATGTTAGCATTGCTGAATGAACTTGTATCTGTCTGGAGTTCCAAAACAAACCTTCAGAATCACTACACTATTATCTTTTCCCTTTTAAAATACAAGCTATCACAATATGAGCCTTTGCTGCAATATTCGTCCAATGAGGAGTTATACTGTATGTACTTATGTTGAAGAGATCTCTTTGTAGGATTTTGAAAAGGGTTTTCTGGCTGTTGGTTATATCATGTGTGTTTCCATAAAACATGTCCCACATTTCCGTTTGACATTGAGGAGTAGTACAGCAGAGCCCAGTCTGCTACATATTCATTGAAAGAAATCATACACAAATAATCTGATATGTAATGGTGGCAAAATAGACAGCTATTGGTTGGTCTGTTATGCATTAAATACGTATGTGCATGTGGTATTTCCTGTGCAAGTGCCACCAATAATGTCAAGTGCGTTTACAAACATCAGTTCATTACATGGCAGTTGCTAAAAATCCCAGCTACTGTTAAATGCAGCATTTTTAATGAAAATCTCAACTGTTACTGTAACATGGGATAAAATGCAGAAACTGACCAAGCACAATCAATAAGTTCACATTATTCCACAGATCGATATCTATTTTTATTACCATATTTCGATTTAATGTATCTACTGCAGCATTTTGATATTTATATATTGATATGTAAATATGAATATTTTCTGTTCCTTATTTGATCAATGTATCTGCTGCTGATGTGGCACCTGATTGGAACTGTTCTCTTGAATCTTTAAATATTGGGTAACACTTCATTTGAAGGTGGGTGCATAAGACTGACAGGACACTTTTCGTGAACATGAAGCAGTCTTTATGAATGTTTGAACTGTTGTCATTAAGTACGACTGTTCGAAACATGCCATAAAGAAACTATTTAGCTTTGTGTGTTAGCATCAGAGCATGTGAACGTCCACTCCTCGCTCACAGACCTGTCACTGCGCTGCTCGTCAGCTCCGCCTGGTTCTGCGCATTCTCCACTCCATCATACACACTCCGCTCAAAGAACCCCTGCATGGTACAACCCTCACCTGCAATCTTCTATTCACAAATAAAAGACTAGCTCACCTTTTGATTTGGCAGTGTGTTCCTGTATTAGACTGCCGTGTTTCCGAGAAATGTGTCTATAGATTCCAAAACGACTCTTTACCGACTGCAACAATGTCGCCGCATTCTTTTTCTTGTTCCACATTATCCCCATCTGTTACTTTTACAGGAATAGTACACTTGTACGACTTCTCAGTTTCTTTTCTGAAATACACATTAAACTCCATACTTTTGAAAGAAAATAGTGTGGGTGTGCGCGCAGGTGCAAAGATGCATTCTGGGTGGGGCATGAGCGACCGGAGTGAAATTGGAGCGAGAGATAAGGCTCCGCTCCCGGTCCGCTCACATGCTCCGGTTAGCATTATATCAAACTGTGATGTGTGGTTGGCTTTGACATTGGCTGTCATGAGACAACTATAATGTAGACAAATACTTTTTCTAACAGTGACATGAATAATTCATTTGACCTCATATACAGTGGAACAATCTGCACTTTCCATTAAGATGTCATTAAATGCATTTAAATACTTTAAAGCAGCATTATGCAAGAACTGATATTTTTTGCTACTTGGCGCTCCTACAGTCTCAGAGTGCAATGGACCGGTTGTACAGCAGACAGTTTGGCATGTCATAGCACAAACCTCACAGGTCTATTACTGACTACTGCATTCCATGGAGTGGAGGTCCTGCCAGTGTGCATGCTGGTTCACTGTCACTGTTACTGGGACACTTATTGGAAATGAACTGTTGTAACTGTTATCAAGTCCACCGATGTTTTTTCTTCTGTGACAAGTCAAAATGTCTGCAGTGCAACCAGTCCATTCTGTCACTGCACGGCTAACTGATCTAACTAGCTAACAGCAGCTACAATTAGCAGCAGTTAACGGTTACTTTAGCATCAAGTGACTAGAGATGCAGCAATTAATCAGCCGGTAACTGAAATCCGCTGGTTTTAAACTTGATTGCCCATGACCACTGACCAACCAATGAGTCTCACATATGAGTGAAGAAGGCATAACAAGATTCCTCTCACCTGCAGCTGGTGGAAGTGGAATTGAAATGGTGGCATAAGATATACTACAATCATTTTCAGTTGGATTTTATTTGTACAAAAGGCTCTGTTCATTCTGTTATTCAGTGTTTTATTATGAACATATAATAGAATTTTCCATCAAAGAGAAGTTACAAAATGTTTGTGTATGCTGTCAATTATAGTTCTTCGAAAGGAAAATTGGAATCAGCAGGTCTGACTTTGGAACCAGCCAAGAAAATTGCAATTGGTGTGCCTCTTTAAGTAATGTTATCTGTCTGTTGGGAAACTCACTGTCACGATCACCGACAGTAAAGGCAGAGCAGTCTGCGGATGCCAGAAGGACAATCCACTCAACTTTATTTATACAGCACCTTTCATACAAACATGCAGCCCAGTGCTTCACATGGAAAAACTCAAACAACACAGACAAAAACATGTTTTATGCACCCCACATCAAATTAAGTATTAGCAAATATTGTGTCTACTTCCTTCAGTGCATTTTTTGCTGTTTTGTCAGAAGATTTGTAAGAATTCAGAACCAACTTGGGACCAGAAAAAAATGCTGATTGTTGTGCACTACTGTAGTTCTTCTTCTATTTTTATTCAGTTGTATTTTTGGTGTTGGCAACAGTTTGCTCAACCACAGCTGAAGCCAATAAAGCAGATTGAACAGAACTGAGAAAGAGAGAGAGAGAGAGTGGAAGAAAGAGAGAGAGAGAGATGAGTTGGGAGGAAATACGTGTGTGTGTGTGTGTGTGTGTGTGTGTGTGTGTGTGTGTGTGTGTGTGTGTGCGTGTGTGTGTGTTTGTTCTTGGGGCCTGATGACAGTGACAAATGGAAAACCCTTCAGGGCTCATTCTCTCTTTCTCTGCACCCTCAAACAGGATGGAGGTGTGTGTGTGTGTGTGTGTGTGTGTGTGTGTGTGTGTGTGTGTGTGTGTGTGTGTGTGGAATAGAGGTGCTGACCAGTTTTGGCCATTTAATTCCTCCCCTTGTTCATCCATCCCTCCCCCTCTCTCCCTCTTTTACTTTTCAGCATCTCCGCTGTTCACTCCCTCTCCCTCCACTACTCTTTCATTCCATCCACATGAATGTCTGTGAGACGGAGGAGAGAAACACAACCTAAAGGTCCTTCTCCCTCTCTTCACGAATGCCTCCTGGCTCCTTTTATTGGCTCTATTCATTTACCCATTCACTCTCTCGTCCATCTACCAAATTCTCCTCCTCCTGCTTTAAATCCACCCTCTGTCTCCAATCTTCCTCTTTCTACGCCGCCCTTTACCTTTTACCCATTCAACGTTTTTCCCTGACGAGTAAGAAAAGATTTCACTTTGCTATTTGCATGATATTTCAAACCAAACCCACTGCTTCTTTGACAAATATTGGTTTCAATAATCAAACAACTCTTTTTGTGTGAAGGCCGAATCTGCTGCCTGGCTTCTTTGTGTAGCTTTTGGTTTTCTTTTCATTCAAAAATTCAAGCTCAATAAGTGAAATTGGATCATAACGATTCACTTCTCCTCATAAATATAACCATAAGATCTGGCACTCTGTGATGCAGCCAGATCTGATACTGGGAGTGAAATGTAACGATGGGCAAGGAAACCAGAGAGTGGGAGAAATGAAAGGCAAGCAGCAATTAGAAGATGTACAAAGGAGCTGGGAAGAGACGGAAAATAAGGCTTAAGTCTTACCGTTTGTGTAAGGGTTTGCCACCTTTTTGTTGGTCATTACTCTGGCTGTGGCATTGTTGACCTGTCAGCAGACAGACAGCGGTTAGTGTGAGGGCAGACGCACAAAAACACACACACAAACAAACAGAAACAGCGCACACTGTGGATAATCCACATCACAACCACAGTCCATGCCATGCTGGTATTTTATAATTTCAGCAATGAGGCTACATGCAGTGAGTCAAAGGTCTGATGTTGAAGCACATTCAGAAACATCAGAGAAAGTAAGTGAGATAAAGTCAAACAATATTTAGAATTGGAATGAATGCACACAAAAAACCTGAAAAGTTACAAAAGATTTTTATTTGAGACCTTAACAAATTCTTGAACTCCCGTTTTGGAGGTGCTCTTGTTTCACTGTTATGTCTACATCCATCCTGTCTCCACTGATACACACACGTCTGCCCCCACTTCCCAGTGAGTCTGATTTAGATGATTTACAGGTGAAAAAATGAGGCTTCAGGACAAAAAACAGGGCTACTTAAGACCGGTGGACCACCGTGGTACCTTATTCTGGAAAAATATGTACAGAAGTTAATGGCGAGAGTTACTTTTTTTTTAATCCTGTTTGAATTGGGCCATGAAATACTCATATGATGTTTCTCAATTTAAAAGATAACTGCACAAGTTAAGAAAGCTGCAGTTTGTGGTAAAAATGTTTAAGTACAACAATGTAAATTGTTAGCCTACACACCCAAAAGTTGCCATCATCATGACTTTCTCTCTCCTTGAAGCTGCGATGCCTGTGTGTTTGGTACCAGAACAACTTGGCCATACTCTTGCTTTTCTACCTCTTTTAATACTTTTTCCTTCGTTCTAGAAGAACAAAATGAAATGTACCAAGGTGATGGCCATGTTGGTGATGGATTGTACAAAACAAGACATGTAGTTCACACAAAACTAAAGGGTACGCTTAAACAGGGAACTTGTGGTGATATAAACTGACAACCATCCTGTGTTATTCTTAGGACAATTCATACAAGATCTAAACATTGTCGTTTTTCCAAAATAAGGTCCCATGTGGAACAGCGGAAGGAAAGGGACCTCTCTTTGTCTCCTGGTGCTGACTTATTTAAGATGGCTTGTTTGCCGTATTAACAAGGGTTAAACATGAAGCTTGGGTCACCCTTTATTTGACAGGTTTGTTATTTGCTAATAATTTCACAATAGACCCTTTTCATCAATAAGATTAATGATGGCTGCATTCCATTTAGTCTAACCAGTTCCCAGGCCCTTGAATTGTGCACTGACCCTGCTTACTGGGACACTTAATGGAATGGAGCCATCGTTAATGTTATTGATTGTGTGCTTTCCCTGCTCTGACAAGTCAAAATGTCTGCTGTGAAAATGGCCTGTAGGGACTCACAGCTCACTTTCACCCAGGCCTGACCCCGTCGCAGGTTGAACAGGCCCTTGCAGAGTTAACCCTGCATGCACCTCAGAGATTACACAAATACCACAAATTTTGCAACAGCAAATAGGTTTTGGAGAAAATGTAATGCTACCCACATTTATTTTTAACATAATGAATTTTTTGTATGGCTCTGTTTAGGCACTCAAAGCCCTTAGTTAAGGTAAGGAGACATGGTGGTCGGGGTTAAATATTGAAAAACTGAAAAGTGACTTGAGGGATGAGTGAACTAAAGTCAACTTAATTTATATAGCACATTTCATACGCCAAGCGTAGACTCAATGTGCTTCAAAATAAAAAATAATTAAAATATTAATAAATAATAAATAAATAAAAAAGATTTTTGTGAACCTTAATTTAACCAGATAAGTCTATTGAGAACCAATTCTCCTTTACAATGATGACTTGGCTAGTAATGCATGACAAACACATATAAAGTAAGAAGGTATTACATATATAAAACATATAAAATAAAAAGGTATAAGTGTTATTATTAAATAGGAAATAATAAGCATAATAATACTGAATCTAAAATAAAAGTGTTACCAGCTAACCACACACTTTAAACCTCAACTCAAAGCTGGCAAAAAACGTACTAATTTACTAGTATTTAAACAAAACTACCATCTGCTTTAAGCTTTGTACACCCGCACCAAAAAAAAATTAAAATAAATAATAATCAAATGCAGGCAGCATATACATGTCTTCAAAAATATGAATGGGAAAGCACAGTAGTATACTAGTATTTAAAAGTATTTTCTAAGAGATAGCATTGCTGCATGTGAGCTTTTTGGTTTTCCAGATGAAAGGTTGTCAAGGTAAAAAAAATTAAAGATCCTGTGATACAGTAAAAAATGTTAGTATCTGAAACAGCCTCAAGATTCATCCATTAGATGAGCCCTATAGTTCAAATGGAAAAATGGAAACAGGAAAAAAGAGTGAGCAGACAGATGGGGAAATGTTGCTCTCCATGCAACAGGAGGGTGACATCAAAATGGGACAACAACTGGTTTAAGGTCAACAAGTCTGAACAAGGTGTAAGGCACACATTTATAACAGGCCAGTTTCTGACTCAAACCAAAGCCACCCTTATCTCATGCACAAGAAACAGACACAAACACACATGACACAATCCATCACGAGCAAAGCAGAATTCAACATTTGTGTAAAAAAAAACCACTGCAACACACACCGCTCAGTAGGTCTGTCTTTCTGTTTGTCACACACACTTACGGATCAGGGTTCGGCATGCAGCGTTCAAGGTGCAGCAGGCAGGTGGGAGAGAGGAAATGGATGGAGGGAGAGAGGGGGAGGGAGGGGGAGTATTGCAGGAAATGTCAGGCAGGCAGAGAAAGGAAAGAGAGATTCAGGGGGAGTAAAAGAAGAGGGGGAACAGGAGGTAAGGAGAGACAGGAAAAGGGAAGGCACCTCTATTTTGCGTCCCTCTACGATTGTACCATTTAGTTTCTCCCGTGCACGGTCAGCATCTGCACTCGTTTCAAATGTTACAAACCCAAAGCCCTGTAGTGGCCAGGAGGCGGGGTTGAATAATCAAGCGACAAAGGGAAGAAGTCCAGAAATGAAATGATGAAACAAACATGGGGAAAGAAGAGAGAAGAAAAGACACAAAGCAGATGAGAGAGCTGCGGGTCAGGAGGAGATCTAGATCTAGAAGCAGAAGCCAGAGAGATGTCAGGCTGGTTAGACAAACATGAGAAACAGAGCTGAAGTTACAGTAAGGAAAGGGAACACAGGACACCAAACCACAGACAAGAGCCCTGATTATAATGAAATTACCACCTCATCACTGTGTGTGTGTGTGTGTGTGTGTGTGTGTGTGTGTGTGTGTATGCATGTTTCTGTTCCCTGTTCCTTCTAGCAACCTTCTAGACTCTTCTTCACATATATGGACCTGATTAAATTAGCAGATGGAATGGAAAGCCTCCACACACACACAATGGAATTTGGGACGTGTGTGTGTGTGGGTGTGTGTGTGTGTGTTTGTGTGTGTGTCTGCTGTAGGATGCAGTTGCTGGTGTGCACAGGCCCTGTGGGAAAGCAGATAAGTGCCATACAATTACAATCTCCACGGCATCAGTCAGCCGTTCCACTCAGAGCCCCGGGACGCAGCTCGCTCATGAGACCCTGTCTGCGTCTCAGACTGGGCCTGGAGAGGCAGCTCGCTCAAACAGCCCGTATACGCAGCAGAACATGCCTCCGAACCCGAAGCTGCAAAGCCTCATCTATCTATGTCAGTGAGCTTAAAGCGGGCAGAGAGTAAGAGCTGAACAATCCTCTCTGCTATCATTGATCATTGCTTGTGTGAAGGGCTTTATGTTAAATGTTCCATTCTACCTGATCAGTGTTGTTGAACTTACTGTGGTCTAAATGAGGAATTCACCTCATGAAGTTGCAGAGAGACATATTAGAGCCATAGGCACCTGCTTAATCACACTTAGTCCTATGGGCACATAAAGCAAGATTTCTGTTGTCTTACTTCTGAGCCTTACTTGATACTACGTACTATTGATATTTACATTATATTTTACAGAATATGGAGTAAAATCCCTCTGCAATGATTTCTTCAAACTAAGAGCCTGGAGAATAACTTCCAACCTGGTATCACGTCGAAGCATGCGAAAGACAGTCCACCATGGAAGTGTCACGTTTTCAACACCTTATTCCACGGTCAAATTGGCAGTAATGATATTATGTAACATCTGGTTACCACTGATCCACAGTATGTGTTTCTACTGCTGCTGCTAGCCCTACCTTTCTATACTATACTATATTCTATAGTTTGCCTTTGATAAATACAATACAATAAAAGCCTTGTTAACAAATGAATGGATTCTGTCCACGCGAGAGAGCTTTTAATCTCAAAAAGATTAAGGAGGTGTTGAGTAAAAAAAATATTTTGTTCATGTCTGTGACTATAGATACAGAGATCGAAACTGTAGTGAAAGGTGTATATGTTGCTGGTATAATACTGACATGACTATAGACAGATCGTTTTCACTCTCGCATGCTACGTGGACAGGGCTTTACAGTTTCAGAATAAAGCTCACTGACGTAAAAAGTTTGATCAGGTTGAGGAAAAGATCGTAAGCCTTGTTACGTACCTGACTAAAGTTAACTTACATACGTAACTTAAACATTGACTTTTGGTTTCACACGGGACAATAACAACTGTCTCCTGGATGGAAGATCTGTTGGACCCCCCCCCATCCTCCTACCTACGTGGACTTTTTCGCTCTTTATACTGCACCTTAATATAGTCATGTTTTTTTCACAACTAATTGAGATAGATTCTGTTGAGATTTGCTGCACAGATGGGTCCTTGTTCCAAAAATCCTTGAAGACGCTTAGAACTTTTTGAAGTACCAGTTTTATTGTTCTGGTATAATGCTCTGCCCAGTTTATTATCTACGTAACCTGGTCTAAATAGTCTCTCTCTTACTCCCCTTAGAGAGTCCTGCCTACAACAAGTGTGGTCCATGCTCTCACTGCTCATGGCCCGCTTTGTCATTGTTGAGTTATGGTGTGGAGGCAGAGAGGGAACTCCATTTGATATGCCTGGCAGACACGCCTGTTGGACGAGCAGCCGGTCCTTTTAGCTTATGTATCCTGGGCCAGTCGTTGCCCTGTAATTGCTTCGCCAGATAATATGCGCGAACGGCACCTGGCGCCGTGATCTCGTATGCATATACAGGATTCACTGCCTTCCACTGGGCATAAATAACACATAGGCCTGCCCTTGAGAGGGGGAGCAGATAAAAAATACATTTAAAAGTGCGAAGTGGGAGCGAAATTAATCCCTCTGACATTTTGTTGCCACGTACGGGTACGCTCACTGCTCTTCACCCTAATGCAGATAGTCTGCTTTCTTTTCTTTATCATGTGTAAATAATTAGTGTTCTAGGGAATGCTAGGGAATGGGACGCAGCCAGACAAGCACTGAATGTAAACAAGACCTGTTAAAGGTGGAAAGGTAAAAGTGCTTACAGAAGGAAACAGGGTAAGACAAGTAAGACAAGACAGGCAGCTGACTACTGTCTTGGTAACTATAAATCCTTCTCTGTGTTAGCTCTTAATGACCATGCTAAATCACAAGCTGGGTACCCTATGAACCTTACAACCATAAATACACTTTCATTAAGGCCCTTTGCAGTTAAATAACAAGTAACCACTACATTAAAATTACATTAGTTTATTGTTCCTTCCTGTTGTCAAGCATGAATATTCTCTAAGTCATAAGGATGAAAAATATCAGGATATATAAATGGGTGATAAATCAAAAGGAAAAAACATCCTTAAGGCTCTGTTCATAGTGCAAGCTTTAGTGCTCAATTCTGATATATTGCTCAGATCTAAATGTTTTTTGGTTTGGCTGTTCACAGTACTCTTTATTTAATGTGGCCCATATCAGATTCCAGTGTGAACAGTCACAGTTCTGAAGTGATCTGCATGAAGAATGTCGATCTAGATATGACTGCTCACACTGACGTCACATTGCAATAAATCAGACCTGTATCTGATCCAGAACAGCTCCTTGTTATAGATTCTCCAAAAAAAAATAGTATGAAACAGAAATGGCTGTATCTCAAAAACTACAAGAATCTATATAAAATGCTTGGTACCGTTGCATTCAGTCAAACTTTATTTTTGTGTTTTTGTTTTGTAGGTCACATGTCTTGACAGTCTCCACAGCAGATTTTGTGTTTCCACCTCGAACAGAAACGCGGGGCTTTTCCATAACATACTAAATATATTTGTATCACTTTAAACAGGACTCTGCTGAAGATACAGCTTGCTCTCAGTGAGTTTCTCCTTGTATGAATATGTTTCAGTCAGTCAATCAGTCAACCAATAAATGAGCAAATGAGCCTCATCAGATACACAGTAAGCAGGTGTAGATATTTAATAACAGCTAACCTCTGTGTAAGATCTAGTTTGTGTGGTACAACCCGTTTTAATTTAGAGATGCATAAATCTCCATTTAATAAACAGTACATTTGAACTAGGCTACATTTCAACCTGTAAACTAAATGTAGAAGCTGTATGAAATGGCTAGAGGGTGAATCACTGTTATAATATAGTTCTGTAGATAGTAGATACTTGTTTATATGAGGATGATGCAGTTAATCAGTGTGTTGTGAGATTTAATACTGTCCTGGATTGGGTGGAGTATATTCACATATAGTGTATTCTTACTTCCTGCCACTATAGGTTGGGAAGCTAACCAGGGAAGACAGTGCGCGTTTGCAGACTGTGTGAATCCTATTGTCAGCGCAAAGATAAGTGGGAGCGATTTATTGTCTGTCACAATGTATGGCAGGCGGGTAAGGTGTAAAAGCTGCCTGCAGGCAAGTGTCACTGATAGGTCCGTAATTACTAGTAGACAGAAGGAAAGAGAGCTGTGAGGACACAGTCAGGAGTGGAGGGACTGCAAGAGAAGAGGAGGGCAAGGGACCAATACATTCGGCTGGAGAAATCATGTGTGTGTGAGAAAGGGTGTTCATGAATGTATGGTTACGGTGCACTTACCTTGGAGCCTCGCTCATTAAAAATAATCTCCACGTCTAAAATCTTGCCAAATTGCTGTGGAAGACAGGGAGGGAGAAGGAGGGCAGGGGATGAAGAGAGGAGCAGGAAAGGGGGGAGGAAATAATTAGAACATGGCGACCTGCACAGCTCTCTCCTACTCCAAAATGAAAAAACTTATTCAGTAAAACACACAGCTCCATTCTTGAACAACCCCGCCCCTGACACACACACACACACACACACACACACACACACACACACACACACACACACACGCTACTAAAAAGGTCAAGCAGTCAATGCTCCGAATTAACAAACTCCTCTTCACCCGACAATGAGATTAATAAAATATCCATTTACTCTTAATGCTGTTTAATGCTGTGTTTGCTCTGCCATGGTGATAAAGAGGTATGTGTGTGTATTGGGGACTAAGGCTACGCAGTGTTAATGAACATTACAGTGGTGGATGCAGATGCTATAGCAGCGCAACGCCGCAGTATGCACCGCTGATCTTAATGATGCCCATCATCTTGCTTTTCCTCTCCACTCTCAAAAAGAAAGAAAGAGAGCAGAGTATTTTTAGTGGAGGCAAAGACCCTCTCAGTTAAAGCAGGAAATGGCTTGTATTTGGAAGGAGAGGAGGGAGAGGGGTGAAGGGATAGCCCATCAAGACTAATGATAAAACGTACATTTGTTTATGTGCTCATGATGCAGATATTGTAATTACCTGCCACAGCCCTCTCTCACCAGCCTAACCATGCATTTGGTGCCTATAGGTTCACTTTTCATCTAACTCTTAATAGTTAATTGGTTAAAATATTGTTACTGCCGGCCCTGTTAGGCTTCAGCACGGCCCTGTATAAGTGTTGAGATGCTCTAATTGGCTGCGCAGTTTGACTTGTCTGTAGCAGGAAACAATAGTGGCTCACCGGGTTACACACAATCTCATATTCCAGATAAACAGTACACTAAAATATGTTTGTGAAATGATTGGAGGAGAGAAATAGTCAAAGCAGTAACAGAATCTGGATCCATATCTGATCAGCACTGCCTAGTTTGACAGTTTGATCTGAGTTTGGTGCGTTGAGCTGGATGGACTCACTGAGAGTGACCTGTCAATCACAGGGTAGCTACGCCCTAAAGCATACCCTGCTTTATGGTCTATTTTACTCTAAATGGGACCATCAGTTACTAAATGAACATCATGCTGTATGGAAGAAGACTGAAACTAGAAATTAAAACCATAAACTCATTAGGAAACTCATAAATCAAGTGAGAAGTAGGCTCATTTTTTCGTAGGACTCCATACGATTGTACTTCTTTTTTGCAGCCCATGGAGCTGTTAGAAAGAATGCAAGTTTAAGACACTTTGGACTTTGGATAAGACCTGGCCTTATAGCTTTAAAACATGGTAGACTCCAGTAGCTGCTGTGGTGAATACAAGCAGATAGGATTAGACCACTTATCACACATCTACAGTATGTTTTCTTTATTTTTATGTTTTCATGTATCTTTTTCTTTAAAATCAGATGTTTGACCCATAAAACTTCATTTTGCTGTGGGCGGCTTTAAATGACTGCACATCCTATATATAAAGTAGCCCAATACAGGCTTCCATAGCTGACTCAGTACATTAATAATTCTTAGATAAAATATGAAATGCAAAAAAAAAACTTGTACTCTGCAACATTTGAGCCTACCTAAGGCCATAAGTGCTACATATAAAATAGTGCAAAGATGATATTAAAGGGTAACTCAACAGCAGGCTGTACTCTCTGACTGACAGGTCTGTTACAGCCAGCATCGCTGATGGGTAGTCAGAAAACAAGGGTGAATATTAAACTGTATGTTATATTTAAACATCGGGCACCGTTTTCAGACCCACTTCCTGCTTCAACTTTGACCTACTGCAATTAGTTGAGTCCAACGCCTGTTGTTTTCTTTTGCTGATTTTTAAGTCATTTTTTTCATTTTGTGTCACTAATTTAATGGTCTGCCTCTGAAGAATGAGAGCTGCTGCCCAGCGACAGACAGCAGAGTGGTACAGCAATGTTATGCACAGAGCTGAAGAACCAGTTTGGCGACAGGGGATACAATAACAACTTGATTTACAGCTTCTGCAACCAAGACTCTGACATGGCAAAGACACAGCCGGGCGGGCCGGACAGAATGGGGGTCTAGTGGGAGAGAAGCTAGAGGGAGGTCGGGCATCAATGAGGCAGCAGCAGCATGTAGAGCCAGAATGTTTTCACATCTAACTTGGTTAGACACCAGAGTTGGTGACTGTCTGAACAGTGGAAAGACAACTACTACTTTTGGTAAGTTTGATTTTGTTTCTGTTAAATTTGGTATTTCATGATTACTTAACAAGGCAATTAAGCTGGTCTTAGTTTGGTACAGAGGGAAAATTGAATTCAGAAGATGCACGTTGTATATTTTTCTATTTAGTAAGAAAAATAGGTGCATTTTGTGTGTTTATTTTATTTATTAAAGCTAAGAGAGCTTGTCCCACGTAGGGCAAAATCATTATAAATAATGTTTTAAAATAAAACCAAAGTTGGAATAATCTGGTATTATCCCTTAAAGCAGAATTTACATTGACACTGGCATGTTCTACTTTGACACAGTGGCTATGTATTTAAGAGGTTACATGATGTACAGCACTTTGGAAGCGATGATGGCCCAAATACAGCTTATGAAATAAGTCCATTTAAGGATATATACCTGCTCCATTCTGTATTATGACCATCTACAAGAATATAAATAATGCAAGAATTTAATTACACTGGCTTGGCTTTCAAAACCTTTTAGTGTTCATACAACTCTTGTTTGCATTTAAGAGTATGATTATTCCTGATGAAATACACACTTGCTTAATGGTCTGAGGTCAGACTACAAGATGAGGACATTACATTCACTGAGAGCTCCTCTTCGAAAAAAAAAAAAAAACCCTACAAAGTGGAAGTTAATAAAGCTGCATTACTATTTTAAAGTTCCTCTCCGGACATGTATTCAGACGTATATACAATAATCTGCTTGGAACAATAATGTGCGTCTGATTTTTCTATTTTCTTTTCTTTTCTACAAAAAAAGTTTAATTTCCTTACAAAAGTCATCTCCCCCTTCTACCTCATTACATATTCCAGAATCTAGAGTGATGGGCTGCCACGTAGCGCCCCCCCAGGAGCAGTTAGGCGGTCAATGCCTTGCTCAAGGTCACATTGGCAGTTCCCAGGAGGTGAACAGGCACCTCTCCAGCTACCAGTCCACATTACTTGACTTAAACTGGAAACGCTCCGGTTCCCAATAATTTACAATTTAGTTTTATTTGAGTGTTTTTCCTTTCTGTCTCTAAAAGGAGAAATGCACACTCTCAGTCCTGCTTCTTCACTGACAGACAACAATGCTGAATTACTTTTTCAGGATATTTAATTTCCAAATTAATTAATATCAGTGTAAAGCTATTTTCAGCTTCAGTATAAATAAATGTCACTGTCTGAAACCCAGATCAGTGTTAGCTAAGTTGGAGCCTGTGCTGTAGGAGCAGCTGGGATGAACTCATGGCTATGTGAAGCAGCACTAACCTTGCCAGGCATATGATAATGCTCAGCCTTGTGCTCCCCATAACTAGACCTTGAATCAAGCAGTTTATTTCAATAAATAAATAAACATAGAGCAGGCAGCGGAGCAAAGGCAAGGTCACAGCACCAGCACCAGCACCAGCCCTGAAGACGAAGGAAGTCCACCAGCAAAACACGTCAGATCATACACAGGATCAGCATGTCCATACATGTTACACATTTATGCTGCAGAACTACGCACAATCTATTTATGTGTTTAAGGTGAATATACAACACGTTCTCATGCCAGGTCGTCAAAAACCGACGCTGCTTTGTCACCCGCTCATACGGATGCACCCTATAGTCTGTATGAAACACCTTTATAACACAGGGTTCAAACTGGTAAGAGTTTGGTTAGGTTTAGGAAAAGATTATTTACAAGCACAAATAAAAATGTCTACATGCCCACACCAGCCTGTGGCTAACAACCACAATGCATGATGTGGTAAGCATTGGGCCTTAAGTCTGGTGCATGTCATACAGAGGGGTACCTAGTGCGTCTATATGAGACACTGGCATTTGATTCCCTGGGAATGAGAACGGGCTGGAAAATATGGACACACTGAGTCAAAAGAAGAACCCTAAAGAAACTCTAACAAAGATTGCTTTTGATTTCATTACAATAAAAGACAAAATGTTCACATTAAGTTAGACGATTGGACTTTTTAGGATTGATGATTTAAGATGATTTTCAAATTAATACAAGAGTTAATGTCCTATTTCTTTGCCATGTTTTTCTGTTTGTGTTTGTGTTTGTGTGTGTGTGTGTGTGTGTGTGTGTGTGTGTGTGTGTGTGTGTGTGTGTTTGTGTGTGTGTTTGTGTGTGTGGATAATGTTAGAGTTCAGGGCTGTAGACAGCATCGATCAGAGCTCTCTTTCACTGCCTGTCTCTGTCTGGGTCTCTCGCCCCAGTGAGAGACCTATCCATAGCCCACTGAACAAGTCATTTAGCTCAACTACCTCTGTTTTCTGTTCTCCGCCCTCTGTGGAAGGCTGCATTTACAGAGTGTGTGTGTGTGTGTGTGTGTGTGTGTGTGTGTGTGTGTGTGTGTGTGTGTGTGTGTGTGTGTGTGTGTGTGCGTGTGTGTGTGTCACAAGAGGCTGGTCAATCATGAAAAGGAGGACATGGTTTGGTTTGGTGTAAAAGGCCACACACAGAGTGTGTATGCTTTGCAGAATGATTATCTCTGTATTTATGAATGCGGGGAATGTCATTTGATTAAAGCAGAGTAACCCAACAGACCCTTCACTGACCCTCCTGTGATTATTTATAACGGTACTAAATATGTCTATTGCTGCTGCAGTTTACACTTTACAGTCATTAACTGCAGTATGAGAAAGTGTTACGTGGAAAAAACATTCACTTTTCTGACTACTAACCTGCAACTTGGTGTCTGTGGAATACGTTCAATATTTGCAGTGATGGAATGTACA